ATGCTCCAATCAGATTTGTAGAACATAGGGAAGTCGCTTTGCTTGGGTGTTCATCACAACTCTCCAGTAAACTAAATGGAAATAATGCTGAATCAATATAAAATCTATATGGCTTAGAATCAAATCATCTTTAGGAAAAACATATCACATGAAAACTTAAAGCCCAGAAACATACATTTCAGCAACAAGTATAAATTATTTTACCAAGTTACTAAATAACAAAGTATCTTTTAAACCAATTGAAAATATTAGTACAGTATATCAACTATTGCATAGATTATAGTATAAAAATTGAATATTTGAAAACTGTATTTGATTAGAAATAGCATCACATATATAAAATATTTAGATGAAACATAAAGTTTAGTAAATTCAGATCTATGTATTTGGTTGCTAGTTTTTGTTTCTTTCTTTCTTTGTTTTTTGTTTTGTTTTGTTCTTAGTCCTCACCCGAGGACATTTTTCCATTTTTTTGTTCAGATAAAGTGGGAGGGCGAGAGAGGAAGAGAGAGAGAGAGAGAAACATGGATGTGAAAGGGACACATCGAGTGGCTGCCTCCTGCACGACCCAATCAGGGCCAGGGACAAACTGCAACCAAGGTACCTGCCCTTAGCAGGAACCAAACCCGGGTCCCTCTGGACCACCGGTCAATGCTCTAACCACTGAGAAAACCCAGCAAGGGCTGTTTCTGTGTTTTTTGTTTTTTGTTTAATTTTCACCAAAGGATATTTTTCCATTTATCTTCAGACAGAGTGGGAGGGAGAGAGAGAGACAGAGAGAAGATCATCAATGTGAGAGAGACACATTGATTGGTTGCCTCCCGTGTGACCCCGATCAGGGCTGGGCATTGAACCGCTACCAAGGCAGTGCCCTTGACCAGAACTGAACCTTCAACTCTTTGGTCCAAGGGCCGATACTCCAATAGCTGTGTCAAACCAGCCAGGGCTGGTTGCTAGTTTTATATGGTAAAGACAATTTATATTTTGGTTTGATTTAAAAGTTGTTTTATCTTCTTGATTTTTCTGGGTCCTTATTGGTTTCATGGTCCATCTAATGCTAATTTTACATTTTTAGTGAGGTTGATTGCTTAAGCAGCTAATATTTTCCCTAGAAATTTTATTAATTTATTTTAAAAGTACTGTAAATAGTGGTGAGGTTCCAGAATATTGTAAATTTTATTAAGGAAGTGGTGGTGGTGGCGAAAATGGCACCATGTGTTACACTGGTAGAGTGAGACTAGACCTCAGGTCAGCAACCTCAGTACTTGGGTTCTGACTAAGAAAGAATTCAGAGCCAAGACTCAAATTATAAGCAAATGTTTATTTAGAAAGTCACAGAGGTAGAAGTGAGCCATAGAAGAAATGGGTTCAAGAAACAAGTTACAGAGGCAAAAGAAGGGTCCTTGGAGAAAGAAAGGTAGAAACAATGTGCCTTGGTGGGGGGGCGAGGAAGGGGAGAGGAAAGGCACAGACAGACATGTTCCCAGAAGAGAAAGCATGCTGGCTCCTTCTTCCTAACAGCTTTTAAGGGTTGGGATTTTTTTTTTTTTTTCCTTTACTAATTTTAGAGAGAGAGGAAGGGAGAGGGAACAAGAGATAGAAACAGCAATGAGAGAGAACATCAATTGGCCACTTCCTACATGCCCCTGAACTGGGGATTGGGCCCACAACCTGGGCAAGAATCAAACTGGCAACTTCTTGGTGCATGGGTCAGTGCTCAACCACTGAGCCACACCAGGTGGGTTAAGGGTTGAAATTTTAGAGGAGGTCCCAGGGGAGGATCTCAATAGAATATTCAAAAGCTTTCTAGGTGTGTCTTTTCAGGGTTGTAGTCTCCACATGTTAGCATAGGTAGCTAGTTATTAATAAAGGAAGGGAGCAAAGGAAATCAGACATTATTAACTATAATCAACTAGGAAGCCTATTTAACCAGGAAACTACAGCTTCACAGCGTTGCCCCACAAAGGAGACTAATGCCCCTCCCTCCCCCATATAGGAATGAAGGACAGGCTTTTTAATTTCCCTGGTGCATTCGCCCAGACTGTGGGGATAGGTAAGCACATACACAATAGGAGCCAAGATGGCAACCACAGAGGCTAGTCTAGCATGGAAAAGGATTGGTTTGAATAAAAGACACAACCCTGAAGATCCAAAAAATAAATTAGTTAGGGGATGGGCCCATCCAAAGCTGTGAAAGCTTAGGCAGTTAATTAGTTAGTTTGAAAATGTGCCTGGTCCTTCCCAAACCCAAGATAATATAATCCCAGTTTAACGAAGTTTACACCCCTCCTCTCTTCTCTCTCTCTCTCTCTCTCTCTCTCTCTCTCTCTCTCTCTCTTGCACAGTAATACATGATTGCTCCATTCACTCATGCATTTCATAGCAGCCATATGAGTCTAGCAGATGCCAGTAGGCTCCTAAGGACCAAGCTTTACTATGGCACAGAATCTGTGGACATTGTCCCTGTTTCTGGCCCTGATGAATAAAAGATTGGACTTTT